CCCCCCCCCCCCCCCCCCCCCCCCCCCCCTTCCCCGTCGACGGGCCCAAAATGAAAAATGTGGAGTGTGGGTCCAGGAATTTGCTTTGCGTGCACCCTTGCCTCGTCCAATCTCCCACACTACTGGCAGTTTTGCTAAACTGCCCATGGGCTGCCCACGAAGTGCCCACCGTGGGCACTTCAACCTAGACATTAGCCATCGGCACACCAACCTAGAACTTAGCCACCCAGCGCCAACCGAGCACGTGCGGGCTTGGGGTTAGGTTTAGGGTTAGCGGTAGGGTATTAGCCGTTACATTGCCCGTTCCAAAGCAGATAATCTATTGTTTAGGAATACACTAGTGCCGGTTGAAGGGCTCTAATTGGCCACCCATGGGTGTCCCATGGGCTGCCCATGGGTGTCCCATGGGCGGTTTAGAAAAACTGTAGAACGTGTGGGAGACCCGTCTCGTCACTTACATTTCCGTTTGTTTTTGGGCATTCATCTCTGTTCCTGCGGAGTTTGTTGTGAGGAAGATAATCTGGCTCGTAACTCTTGCTCTCTTGAACGCTATCTTTTCCTCCACCATTCTCCTTTTCACCCCTCACTACTACTAAAATTCCCAGCTACTGGCTGATTCGCTGTGGTGGAATATGGTCTATCAGTAAATCATGACGTCAAGAGTTCGTACCGGCAGCAAATGAGCTACAGCTCGAAGATAAACCGTGTCTGAATGTCTGAATCCTGTTGGTGTGGTAGGCCGTGTGTGTGTGGTCGCGGGCGGGCGTCCCCGTGGCTTCCAAGCCAGTGAAGCGTGGAGGGGCGAGAACTTCATGGGGGCGCGGAAACGCAGCATATGCCGACGCTTCCGTCTCTCTCGGTGCAGTTGAAGAGGACGCTTGCGACTCGGATGACGAAGTCGTGCCCATGCCGGAAGATGAAGTGCAACACCATAAATTTAGACAGTAACGGCATGTTGGAAGACAAGGGGAGACGGTCAGATCCACTGGCCAAATTTCATGGGGAGTGCAGATGTATGCTGAGAGAAACTCTGTTGCCAAGAAATAGTGGCGTGTTTGAGCAAGGTTGAATACAGCCAGTCGAGCCATCATATTCCATCACGGTTCCATGTGATGATATGGCAGTACCAACCAACCAACCAACCTTGGCCGATGACTCCCACGGTGTCGTTTTACCGCGAGTTTTCGCTCGCGGAAAGAGCGAAGTGACCATTTTCATCAAGACGCTCACTGGCGAGACCCACATCATGAGAGCTTTTCCCAGTGAAACTGTGCTGGACATCAAGGAGAAGAGTGAACGCGCGGGAGGCATTCCCGTCGACCAGCAGCGCCTCATCTACGCAGGCAAGCAATTAATAGGTGGCCTGACCTTGCGTCATTACAACATTCAGAACGGTTACACCCTAGGGTTTTGCGTCTACGTGTGAGAAAGCCGGTGATCCTCCTGTACCCGCCAGCCCCCGTGGATGCCACGGTCACGCTGGAGCTGAGCCCGTTCTGGAGCTTCTGCGCACTGTACCCGAAGCCCCCGTCTAGCAAGCTGCAGCAGGCAGCCCCGGACCCCAAGGTCAGTCTCTTGATGGTGCCATTAGGAACAAGCAGAAAGCAAAACCAGACGTGCTCAGCGTGTTGTGCCCCAAACTGCGCAGGGTATAGTTGATTTTCGCTCGACGGGAGATCTCATACTTTCCGGCGGTGTAAGGCCGCGAGACACTTGTTGCGTTGTAGTATACGAATTTTCTGTCTAATTTATGCAGGGTAACTCTTCGTACTTCCTTCTCATCGACGCCAGGCCTTCTGGTGTGACGCCAACACCACACGATTGTCTTCATACATTCTGCTTCGTGCCATCAACCCACCCTCACTCTACTTGTCCCGTGGTAAAACTGGTTTCCAGGTTGTCGTGGCTGGTGGCCAGCAGTGCAAATGGAACGTCCACGCCAGTCCCGACGGGTCTCTTGAAGACCTCAGCACCGGCAGGGAGTACCCGTACCTCTTCTGGGAAGCAGATTCTTGCGACGGCCGAGTTTCGCGGAGCTTTGGGTTGGACGATACGAGGTCGTTTTGCGTGGCGGGCGACGCCGCAGGTACGATACGTTCCTGATTGGCTCAGTCTGCGAACGTCCCTATCAAGACATATTCGACGCCTGCGCTTCCGATCTCCTCGTTAGCTGCGCCCGCCCTCAACGTTTTCGTAGCTGGTTCATCCCATTGTTGACATCTGCCATCCCGTTCGGCGCCGTTCCCTACCGAATTTTGCGCGATCGACGTTCTTCGACAGGCGTGTTCCTCGACGGTGCCCTGGAGCGCCTCGGGCTCAACATGCGGGAGCGCTGCGATATGGTCACCTACTGGCTGCCGCAGCTGGAGTCATCCGCCTTCAACGTCATCTACTTCGTGAACGTAGAGCGGTACGAGAAGGCGGCACGTCTGACCATTGAGCCTGCTCCGGACGTCACGATCCGCATCTTCATGGCCTTCAGGTTGTTCGTGCGTGCACACCCATGTGTGTGGTTGGGATTTATCCGATATCCCACGCTTGTTTTTGTCCTTATTTTGCTGAAGGCTGGGTGTCCCATAAGAGCTCAGATGTCGGTATTTTGTCACCTGTACAGATGTACGTTCGTATTGGCTTCCTCTGTGGGAACGTTGTTAGTAGTACACGATCACCCAGACGATAGTAAAAATCTAGGGAACAATTGACGATGCCCCGAGCATGCGGTCCGATGCTCCTCGAAAGCCCCATGATCGATCAGACATCGTCATCACTCACAGTGGCTTGCACATTTGTGGCAAAGGGGAAGGGATTTCTTCCACACCAGGGCGATGTTGAAGATATCACCTTGTGGGTTCGGGGTGTTGCCCTGGGGATTTGGAGACCCTCCTGTTGGATCTAGCAAATATCCGGGACACCCGTAGCAGGATAGACCGGGGAACATATTGTTTTGTCCGAATTCTCGACCATGTCACCCTGCTACGCTCTCGAGGCATTTGCGACCACTGCGAAGTACCCTTCATCGTCTTGATAAAACCGGTTCAGATGGCCGGCTAGACAAACGGAATGCATCTCTTCGCCGGTGGGTTGAGGTATGAAGAGTGTGGATGCCGCTTCTGAAATGCACTCCGTAGTGACAAAATCGGCGCCCCAGGCTCGCCCACACCTCGAATCGACAAAAGTTCAGGTGCCCCAATAATTATAACATCCCGTTCACTTTCAAACGTACAAAGATCACACGCCGTCGAATGTCCCCCGAAGCGCATTGTATCAACGACCCTGGCTCAATTCTCTTGACTGTATGTGCACCTTGTTGGTGCACGGGGCACCGCATTTCTATTTTCCAGGGGCATCGACGCGTACGACAAGGAGCTGGACACCGCCAAGATGGAAGACCTACGAGCGCCTGGCAGAAAGGGATTCGTGGCCGTCGAGTGGGGAGGCATGAATCTCAACCGGGTCTCGCATGACTAGTTGGTCAAATGACCTGGTACCTTTCTTCTGTGCGAAAACGGCTGTCGATCGGGCTGAAAGGGGCGACCAGTACTACAGAACGCGCCACCACTTAAGAACCGCTTATTTAGCTTGAGGCTCGACGCTTATTGGTTACCTCCAACCGAGCACATGTTCTTATTTTCCCAAGTTCTTGTTTGGAGCAGGTATCCACCTATGGTAAACGAGGTTCTTGTTCTTATTTCTATACCGATTGCCGTATGCAGAGGACACAGAGAGGTCTTTCTGCGTGGATTTCATCACGAGACACTACTGCTGTAAGAGTACAATGTAGCCGTAAAATCGCCCCCTAGGTGGCAGTGCCGCATGTACGGTATGGGAGAGGAGAGGTTGCCGAGAAAGGCTTAGGAGGCGAAGTGGACAAACAAGAAGAATTGGTGTACCAACCTACGGAGTGAGTTAATGTTGTAGATGACGCATGGAAGGGGGTCCAACTTGACAAAGGTGATACACTAGAGAGGGGAGGTCTAGGGGGGTTCAAGGAGAAGATATCTGTTGTTGCTTTGGCGAGAGAGAAGGACAGGATCAAACCAAAGAAACCAAGGACACGGAGGGTCTCGATGTGTACGGAATATCAAAGAAGGAATATATTTAAAGATTACCTACACGGAAAGCCAATGGATGCAGAGACAAAGCTGAAGGTCAAACCTAGGACTGGGGATGTTGGCCTTTGAGAACGTAGACGAAGATTGAGGAAGGTAGACGATGAAGACGACAAACCCAGGTGTGATTGCGACTCCGAGGGCGAAGACCATCTTCATGTACTTGCGGAATGTCCGTGGTACAAGAAGGAGAGGGAAATGTACATGACTGAGCTAGCTGGGAAAAAACGTAGAAGGAAACAGTACAGATAGAAAGACAATTGACGAATGTAAATAGCCAGGAGAAGATGGTAGCTGTACTGGGGCATAGGAAATGGGTAAAAAATACGGCGGAAAGTGATACCGATGGGAAAACATGTTTGAGCGACCTTTTTGGCAACGTAGGAAGGAACGATTGGCCATCGGTGATCGAACCTGTGGGAACGATGCTCCGTCCTGTCGAGGACGCGTGGTCAACGGTCTAACCGCTAAGTAAGGTCAACGGTCTAACCGCTAAGTAAGGCTGCCAAAACATGAGAGAGAGTACACCCCCCTTCGGACCCAACTCCTACGATCGGGAAGAGGCGTAAAGGTTAAAATGGCAGGTAGGCGGAATGTTGTGGGATGTGGGAGAGGAGAGATTGCCGAGAGAAGCCTAGGAGGCGAAGTGGACAAACAAGAAAAATGGAGGTACCAACCCGGAGGGAGTGGATTAAGGTTGTAGACGGCGTAGGAAGAGTTCAAAATCGATTAGGTTGGTACATTGGAAACGAACGGTAGATCTAGAGGGGTTCGAGAACAAGAAATCTGCTTCTTTCGCCGAGAGAGAACACCATATAACAAAAGGATCCAAGGATAAGGAGGGTCTCCATGTGTACGGATGTTGAAAGAAGGTATATACCTACTACATGGACCAATGGATGCAGGGAGAAAGCCCAAGGTCAAATTTTTGGAGTGGAGAACACGGCCTTCGAGAACATTGACGGAGATTCAGGAAGGTAGACGATGAAGACGAGTTCAATGTGAATGCGACTCCGAGAGCGAAGACCGGGTTCATGTCGTTGCGAAACGTCCGTGTTGGGCGACCAGGACAGAGAAATGTACATGACTGAGTTGGACATGTAGAAGAAAAGGTACAGGGAGGTGTTTGAGGCATGGAATAGCCAGGAGAAAACGGTGGTAGCTGTACTGGGGCATAGGAAGTGGGTTGAAAAGGCGGGAAGTGATGTCGATATAGGGTAGATCGGCTAGGGAGAACATGGTTTGGCCACGTTTGACAAAGTACTTCGAAGTGGGAAGGAACGATGGGCATCAGTGATCCTGTTGGAACATGGATGCGTCCTCTCGAAGACGTTGGTCAATTGTCCTACCGCTAAGGCATGCGAAACATGAGAGAGAGTAAGCTCTCCCCCTCCGCGCGTACAAGAATTCATCACGAGGTCCTCTCTCTCCCCCCCCCCCCCGCCGTCGAATCAGAAACTAACTGCTGATGTGGGTCACCCCCAGCCTCCTGAGTTCTTATCTTGCAGCCGCAGCGTTTTGGGGCTCCGTTCTTATCTCTATGCGCATTGGTACACCGGGCGGGTTCTTGTTCTTAATACAACGTCGGAACTGAGCATATGTTATGGCCAAGTTCTTAGATTTTGGATTGTTTTGAGGCTCAAGTTCTTAACTCCTAGTCTAAGTTCTTAGGTAGTGGCACGTTCTGTATGCAGGGAAACGGTGTTCTCCTCCGTGCCTAGCTAGTCATTGATCTTGAAAATGTGCACCTTGACGTCGTATGGTGTAGGGGCGAAAGCAACACAGGCGAGGATTTTGGAGGAGATGAGGCGGGAACCTCCCGTGTGTGCCATGCTTGTGGGTGGTACGACAGCGCAAAAATGATAGATGCGCACGGCGAAGCTGGATCTGGCCGACGACAGACCTTTGACGCCCGATTTGAACAGACAAGCATCGATAGGCCCCCACGCGCATTGTTGTTGGTACTACCACGCCTTTACTACTTTATAAAGGAAGGTTTGTTCGTCGAAGCAGATAGAATAAACTGGTGTTTATTTTGTAACAGTCGCATTAGAATTTGGCTTCATTTTCTACCGGAAACCCAGGGTCACGGTGTTTGGAATTATTAGTCTATAGTTGGGGGTGTCATTCCGTGATCGAGTCCACGCAGGGGCTGTAGCAAAGTCGGGTAACGTGTGACAACTACAGAGCGCGTGAAGCAACGGAAGGACAGCAGCAGCCGCCTAACGCAGTAGCGGCGGCAGTTTAGAAAATCCCGCCCTCCCATCCCTTTTCTTTCGGAGGTGGGGGCATAAGTTCGGGAATATTCGGTATCTAGTCAGGTGTTGTAGAATGGTGTGTACCATTTGAGGACTTGGTCAGTTTTGGGACGCCTGCGTTTGCAGTCGTAGTCCCCCGGCTAGTATTTGTGGGGAGAGAGATGGATTTGTAAGAGTTGACGCCGGCCTTTGCAGCTAACGCGGCCGGAGAGACGATGAGCGTTTCGTGCGTCTCTCTCCCCAACACGTAGCCTAGAAACCGAAGAAATAATGAAGCAATTCGAAAGAAAACAAAATAAACTGTTTTTTTTTCGCTTGGAGATGTAAAAAAAAATGGGCTCAAGAAATGAGAGAGATGTATCCCCCCGGGGGCAACGCTCGCTCGTGAAAGTTGCTACTGTGACGGAAAGAGAGGCTCTGACTTGGGATGGATCTCGTGACTTGAGCGGGTCTCTCTAGGCATAGACTTGTGGCTATTCGTGGCCACAAGTCCATGGATGTGTGTATAGGAAGGAAGTCACGCTCTCCAGAATGATTACCAAAAGCTACCGACCTGATGGTAGCAGCCTCTCGATCGGTACCGAGTTCAAAGATGCGCGCTAGAACAGCGGTAGAGGAAGCCTAGATGTAGGCTTGTGGAGCGTGGAGAAGGTCTCCAGTCGTGGATACGGTATGCACTTTGATTATTGCTGAGCACTGGATGCCAACAGGAAGTGAGCTTCGTGGGGCAGCACGAAGCTCGAGACAAGGGGTTCCGCAATGATGCGGAACTGTCAACACCACCCTATGGGAACGACGCTAATCCCGAAGGGTGCAACTCCCTGTAACCGTAAACTATGTAACCGTAACATCCCCCCTAGCATGAACAGCTATTTGTCAGCTGTCACATGCTAAACGGTAGCGGGAATTGCGGGCACCGCAAAGTGGCGCGCTTCCTCTTGAAAACTACCATGCGATATCTATAAGTTGGACCGAAAGTTCAACCGAAAATGTCGAGAGGTGACAGCGAAAAAACCTACATAAAAACCGCTCGTCTCGACATTCTCACTGCGCATTGAACAGGCCCGACATCGACTTGTGCGAAGGAAAAACCCGGTGTCCGGGAGAAACCCTTCGCCCCCATCCCGAGAGTCCAAGAATTTAGGCTAGCGACCGAAAACACCAAGTGACACTCGGACGTAAAATACTCTTCTAAAAAACCGTCCCTCGCTTGGTGAATTCACTGAAGTGGCTGGCCCGACTCTCATCTACAGCGCGGGAAAGACCTGGCCATCCAGGGACAATCCCATTGCGCAAAGCACCTACAACACCAAACCACACCGCAAAACGGTGTCACACTCCCGCAAGGGTACTTCGCAAGCCCGACACCAATCTCGGATATCACACCCCCAGTTGGAGCAGGGCGAAATGCTCAACCTACGGTAAGACACTAATCCCCGTACCGAGTAAACTTCCAGGACATCAACGACCCTAGCCCAACGTATACTAATGTCTTTACTAAATGAACATCCAGGACAAACACGTCCCAGCCCAACGGACACGTCACCTATTTCACCAAACAACCTTAATTCCTAAGACTGGACAGTGGCACTCTATCGAATTTTAGCCTAAGATGAAACGTGCCGACTCTTGTGCCGGCATGGTAAAACTACCGGCAAACGGCTGCACCCATCTATCAGCCCAGACGATACCCCAACTAACACGGGTGTGTTTTCTAGCTACCAAACGGTAAAATACACAAAACGCCTGCAAGATGTGCGGTGGTCCCAAACTATAAATGCTAACAATCCGATGGCCCTGGAGCTTGTGCATGCCGCGTTGCAGCCCTTATCTTGAGAGCCGCTCAAGCTCACGGCGGGAGAGCTCCTCCCAGTTCTGGTCGCTGTAGCGCACGCGCCAATACGGGTGGAGGAAGTCGAACACCTGGCCTTGTAGGTTCAGACCTCCTTCCAATTCCTTCCTGAAGGTGAAACCTATCGGAAACAGTTCCAAGGCTTCGGCACGCGATAGCGGGGCACGGGGCTTGTTTGAGACGGGCGGAAGGTCGTTAGCTCGCTGGGGGTGGTACAAGTGCCAAAGAGCGACAAAACCATCAAGCTGA